AAGACACACTGTGACCTTCCATGGTCGAAACCAGGTAAGAACTGGAGTCACAGAGATGTCATCCTTGTCCCATTCAAAGATACAGCTGGACAACTTGGAGCAGAAAGTGCCATACAGTGGATGGTGCTCCGTTGTAAGACCCGCAGCGAACCGTCGCATAAAGTGGAAGACATCAAGACACACTGTGACCTTCCATGGTCGAAACCAGGTAAGAACTGGAGTCATACCTACACTAATGAGAAACAAGGAAAGAATCTATGCATTTTCTTAGATTTAAATTTGCACCATTAAACAAATATGCTAATCCAGGTTAAAATACGTTTTTTGTTTTATTGATTGCAAACAGTGAACTGGGGTTCTCATGCTAAATTTTTTATTTTAAATAGTTCTAAAAAATTCTCCTTAGGAGTGCTCTTAAGAAATATGAACAAACACCTGAACAAAAGCCATGTAAATTAACGTTCTAAATTAGTGGAAAACATGCAGATCTGTGATTTATTCTCATTCAGAAACTTGCCTGAAATGCTTGCTAATATGAATTAGAAATGTATTAACAGCATTCCAAACATTCCTATCAGGAAAAGTTATAAAGCTACAAACCCGTCCCGCTGCAGCAGTCCCTGTCAACATAAATCACAGCTGGCTCTGGCTCCCCAGCATCCTTGTATCGCTTCACGATGCCCTGACACAACTCATCCAGACCGGCTCCCTCACCAGTTGTAAGGACAGAGTTCAGGACTTGGCCAAACTCATTGCCAACGTTGATCATCCAGGTAGCAGTGTCCGCAATGCCACCAGCAAGCTTTTTAGTGATCTATATAAATACATAAGCACATCGGGTATAATCACTGAAGATATATACACACACACACACATACATGTATATGTATACATACACTTACCTTTTTGGTAGAATCAAGCTTCAGGATGCTACCATATGTTGATGTTATGACACCCTTTAGCTCATCAAGGTGACTCAGAATTTCGTTGGCATGGGCGGTCTCAAACCACTGTGCCAGAGGTAGGGGGCAAAAAGGTGGTGGCTGCTCATAAACCACTTCCAGTTGGATCAGAGCACATCTGTTTTTGTGAAGCTCACAGTCCGTCAGGTAGTCTATAGTCCGCCTTGCCCACTCCTCGCTATGAATTTCTTCCAGCGCTTGCTGCAAGTAACTGGAGCTGTTTCCTGCAGTTCTAGGCTTCAGCAAGGTCACACACTTCCTGTCAAGGGCAAGGTGAGTGGTGAGAACAGCGGGGAATTTATTTCTGTGGGAGGGATCCAGTTGTTTAAGGATCTCTGAACTCCAAGGGCAGACAGGAATCATACACTTACTGCAGCGAGGGTAGTCTACTCCAATTAAGTAGTATCTGGAGTCAACATCAATGACTTCCCTCACTTTAGTGTAGATACCTGAATGGTGCATCTTCCTATTGCACTGTGTGCATTTCAGAGGAATACCCCACATCCTCATAGGGGCCCACAGAAACATCCGCTGCCTGAAGTAACTGCTTGGATCAGGCAGTGAAGTAGTAGGCTTGCTGGGACTTGGTGGATGAAACCAGTTTTGGGAAAACTGCTGCTTCAGTCGCCCCGTGCTGTCATACAGACACTGAGCTATCCACTTCTGGTCTGCTGGTTTGATCACGCGACAGAACTGCTTGGGGAGAAAACTCACCCAGTTCACTTCTGGAGGCCTCAGTGATGGAGTGTGAAGTGTAGTTTGTGGAGCTCCTTGCTGCTCTTCGATGTATGCAGGTGACTGAGCAGTCGATGTTGTGGGAGATACTGCTGGTGGATCCACAGATGGTCTGTCTTGGTCTGAAAGACTAATCAAACGATGATGATTATCAATGTGGTGAAGCAGTCCAACTGCACCCCACACTTTTGCACCACACTGGTCACAGCATTCTTGGACATGGTAATCTGATAGATGTTCAGTGAAACCCTCCACATCAACGTCTTCGCTACAAAGAGTATACTTAATTGAACTGCTGCTCTGAGGGGCCGGTCTGGAGCAGTCACTGCTCTGAGGGGCCGGTCTGGAGCCTGCACTGCTCTGGGGGGGCCGGTTTGGAGCCTGCACTGCTCTGAGGGGCCGGTCTGGAGCCTGCACTGCTCTGAGGGGCCGGTATGGAGCCGGCACAGCTCAATGGTCCTGCCTGCATGCCTGCACTGCTCAGGGGTCCTGCCTGCATGCCTGCACTGCTCAGGGGTCCTGCCTGCATGCCTGCACTGCTCAGGGGTCCTGCCTGCATGCCGGCCCGGCTCAAGGGTCCTGCCTGCATGCCTGCACTGCTCAGGGGTCCTGCCTGCATGCCTGCACTGCTCAGGGGTCCTGCCTGCATGCCTGTACTGCTCACATATTTCACCACTCAACATGTCTGCTTTTGTATATTTGATGCAAGTCTTTTATATGTATATATATATATGCGTGTGTGTAAAATATAAAACTCCAAAAAACTCCATTCTACTGTTGCTATATTAACACATACAAATTGACAGGACTGTGTGCCATGCAGCTGACCTTAGGGCTGATGACTCTGACCCTCCAGTAGCTGTCGTGGAGGCCCAGGTGACCAGTCAGGTGAGAGACACTGGACCCAAATCCCCTGATGAGGAGGACACTGAGGAAGAGGAGGATGACACTGCAAGTCCTAGCACATCAGGCCAGATAATGTTGCTTTCCTGTACTATCTTTTACTTTAAAAAAAAAATTATCTGGTGCAGTGCAAAACACCTATTGTCAACAGTGTAAAGTTAAAATATATGCATATACAATGCAAAATAATTACTACAACACCGTATATATTTATTGGACTGTGGTTGGCGTTTTTCTCAATTTTCAGAGTACACAGTGTGATTCCAGAGGTGTCTTGGGCTGGGAGGCAGTTGATGCCCTGGCAGCCTACCTGGTTGGCCTAAATCGAACGATCACTGCCTTGTCATCCCAAGAGGCCGACATAGTCCAGCTGTACAAGGCTCTGCATGCCATGGACAAGGTACCATCAAAATATAGCCAGAGGGTTAAGAAGGCGGCTTTGACAGGACCTTGGAGAGCATCCAGGAAGCAGAGTGGCTCTCCTCCAGGACAGCAGGCAGCAGAGAGGTAATTTGACTATTTGGATCTTCACTAGTTTATAACCCAGTATACAGTTCAGATTATATCATCCTTCTTTTCCTTAGATTGTTCATGACTCTTGGGCAGGCAGCTCAGGACCCTGAAGTCCACAGGGTCTGTGAATGTGTTTGCCTACAACTTTTGAAAGAGTTTCAGCAAGCATGGAACAGGTCCAAGGACACACAAGGAAAAACTCTGCCACAATCTATTGTGGTGGTATACAGCCACTTAAAACAGCTGCTGGAGGACAGCAATGTGGTTCTAGGACAGACTAACCTGGTTCTGGTCCCGATAAACACCACTACTGTCTCATCTACTGCTTAATTTACAGTGTTTGTAAAAAAGAAAGACACAACTCTTGTGGTGAAATAGTAACACATCCATCCTTTGGGTGGGAGATTCCAGGTGCAAGTCCTGGCAAGAGTGTGTGGTGTTTTTTTCAGATCAGTATTTTATTATTATTATTAGTTTTTATTACAAATTGTATAGTCAAAAATCAATCAAACCCTTTACTTAAATCCTTTGTGAGTGTTCATGAAATATGATGGATATTTATTTTTTCTTTCCTTTTCTTTCTTTCCCCCTTGTAGCAGTCCCTTTTGCCCTGTTCTGGGCCCGGCGCCCTCTGGCTCTTGTCTTAAGGTATGTCATTGTGGTTTTATCATGTCCATTTGTTTACCCAACAAAGAGCAAAAAGTTTTTTACATGGGTATTTGATATCCACATGCAATTGGTCTGAACCATAAAATGAATTCATAGTTGTAGTATAGCACTGGTGACAACTTCCCTGTTTGACCCCCCTATAGCCCTATATAATCTAAAGCACCTTACAGCAACCCACACCAAAAAGACAGCAGTATTACTGTGGTATTAAACCTTTACCTGTAGCCTACATATTTGCAGATCATTCATGTTATCGAAATATACAAATTAAAATGTTAAAAATGATCTGCTATGTATTTAGCCTGTGTTCAAATTGAGTGGGTAAGACAGGCTGCCAAATACCACAAAAACATCAATCTACCATAAACTGTCCTTTATTCATGGAGGAAATGGCACATTTCTACCTTGAAGGAATGACATTTATAATATTAATTGCTGCTGTCACTAAAATCTCATTAACATGCAAGTCAAAAAAGCAGTTAGCAAACGATATACAGACCAGATTTTGTTATCAAGTAGTGGAATATCAGAACTAAACGAGTGACTCGAGGTTCAGTGAATTTAAAGGTGAAATAATAAATTAGAATTTAAAAAGCAAGAGTGATATCAAGCACAAAAATGGCTCAACACCAGAGGGAGCCAAACCACCATCTATCAGCATAACAAAGACAGACTACACAGGCAAGAGACGCATATCCACTCATTATAATATTAATTGCTGCTGTCACTAAAATCTCATTAACATGCAAGTCAAAAAAGCAGTTAGCAAACGATATACAGACCAGATTTTGTTATCAAGTAGTGGAATATCAGAACTAAACGAGTGACTCGAGGTTCAGTGAATTTAAAGGTGAAATAATAAATTAGAATTTCAAAAGCAAGAGTGATATCAAGCACAAAAATGGCTCAACACCAGAGGGAGCCAAACCACCATCTATCAGCATAACAAAGACAGACTACACAGGCAAGAGACGCATATCCACTCATTTTCTGCTTTATTTATAGACGAGAAACTCTGTAACAAGATAGATTCCATTGAAAAAGTCAAAGATCTCATTTAATTAGGTCAACCCAATGCCTCGACCCAAGTGTGACTCTAACAGGTACAAGAGCTAATAAAACCGAGTCAATATACACAACTTAGATCTTTAAAAGGCACCAAATAAATACAAATAAATATGCAGTCAAAACGATCCCAGAGAAAAATAAATAGCGTTAAAAAAAAGAAAGAAAAAAAAAGAAATAATACAAATCCCCCATGCAATCTTTAAAGACTGATACAGAACATTCTTTCACTGGACTCTTTCACTTCCAAAGTCCTAAAGCTGCACTGTTTTTTAATGTATAGGGAGCAATTGGGAGCCCAAGTTAGACCCCTACTAGAGAGTCCAGGCTGTTTTCTCCTCGACCAGCAAGGTGCTCATTGTGGATGCGTTTCCACCAGCCTTGTGTCTCTCGGTGTTTCTAGTCCCCTCTTTCAAGAGCCTGCACTTTCTCAGTCTGCTGCAGAACCTTGAGAGGGACCCAGAGCCAGACAGTAAGAACATCCAGGCCCACATTAAGGATTGTGGGAGGTGTGTGTATGTGTGGAAGCCAGCTGATCGGCTTGACCACAACCCCAGGTCCTATGAGCTGGCACCGCTGTTGAACTTGTCCAGAACGGTAGTGTTGACTTTCTGGAAGATCCACTGTTGTGTTTCAGTCTCGGGGTCGCACTTGTTCATGAAAACCCGCTTATCGCTGGGGCTACAGTCCATGCAACCGTTGCTCACCAGGTGGTACAAAGACTTATCCTGGAGCACAAAGAAGATGGGATGGAGAAAGAGAAAGAAATAAAAAAATAAATAAACAAGAAACACAGTCACCGTGACTCCGGTGGAGGCCTAATCCTGCTTTATCTCCCACTAGCCTTCAGTCAGATTACAGGGGTGGAACTGAAGAACCAAACAAGGAATACGCTAATCAGAAAAGCTGACTTCATTTCATGACTTGAGTTTGGAAGTGAAATGTGAGAATTTGATAAATGATGGATGGATGGGATGGGATGGGAGGGGAGGGGAGGGGAGGGAGGGAGGTAGAGAGAAAAAGAGGGTTGGCCCCTGGGTTGATTTACTGTTCTCTGCGCCTCAGGCAGCTCCACTGCCAGGTACCACCTCTTCCTTTCAACTGTATATTTCCTCTCTCTATAGCGCCGTTATTGACCTATCCTGCAATGACAGTGATTTTTTTGCTTGGCACCTTAAATCTCTTACGTGAGAGGGAATATTTCAGTTTAGGCTCGTTCTACCTCGCTTGAGGGCTAGAAAAACTGAGCTTCTGTATTAGGCTCCGGCGTTAGTGATGGGCCCAGAGCGGTAGGCATTTGTCCACAGGGGCTTCTGTAACAAGGTGTACACTCTGTCCTATCGCTGCTCTGTTGCTGTAGATATACTTTATTTACCTCCTAAAGAAGATGTGGAGAGGGAATATGGAGGAAGACAGGTGTGGCTTTTCCTTAGAGATGGTATATGAAAATCTATGAAGCTATATGAAAATTTAACACCTGGGTGTAAAACATTACTCATGTAGACTCTAATGGATTTTATTTCAATAACGCCAAACCCTTTTTCATTCCATCCAGTTGTCTTTATTATATTTATATTGTTCTTAAAAACAAATACTGTGACTACTGAACTTTATATATATATATATATATATATATATATATATATATATATATATATATATATATATTATATATGTTTTTTTTTCG